AGTCAATATTATTTATCAAAAACCGGCTGGGGGTCAGTAAGTTCTATGCACCTAAATAATAGTTCAAATTGATGAAAGTTATAGAGCACTTTGCCACACCTAGCCTACAAGTTTTCCCTAAATGTTACTTAAGTATTAGACTCATCCTTGTTGTAGCTGAAAAGTAGGACGTTAAACTTCATTACATGTAATTTGTTCACCCCGGATAATTTATGTTTTGGAGTCAAATGCATTTTTTCAGAAATTTAAATATTCACCCCATTTAACGATAAAATACGTAACGGATGATATAATGTTTGTAAATAAAGTTTTGGGTTAACTCTGTCACCTCATATTTTATTAACAACGTAATTGGGATGAGGTGTCAGTATGATTTACTAGAGGTGTCAGTAAAACAAACGATTTGTTAACTGATGTAAATTATCTAAAGCGGATGTTCAGTAATATGATGAACGATGTTCCTGTCTGAATTATAGGGTATTTCAGAGTTGTCTTAACGAATTTGAAAAAAAAATTAACAGTTCTTTTATTTTCAGGACTCATGGCGACATAAAATTAATCAATGTATGATTATTTGACAGTGGTTATGCAGTACAGTTTTTTGTCTGGGTTTTTTGTGTCTGAATTAATACATTTTCAAATGTGTCCTAATTCTTAGAAAATATCCGTGACATCGTGAAGATCGAGGAAGGAATGCAGCTCATCGAATTTCTCAAAAAAACATGCCTCATGGCAAAAACTAAATATGATCATCTAGATTCAAATTTCTAACAGATGTTCTCTTTAATCTAAAGACAAGAAAGGATTTCGAATGCATGTGTTCCACCTTTAATGTTCGGTTATTTTAGTCAAATTGAAGCATTAAATCCGAAAGAGTCACTTATTTTGATGATTTTCTCGTATTTACCAAGGGTACCTGTTGCCAGAATATCTTGTTAAGATTATGGTAGAATTTGAAATTATTCGGGTTTTGTTTTTCTCAGGGGCACATGATCCGCCACCTTTTCAGCCATTGGGCGACAGCCAAGCCATTTTATTTAAAACAAAAGAATGCAATGAGATCCTAAGGCAAAATCAAAGATACCCAATAAACAGAAAGTCAGCTTCACAAATAGATCTTGAACAGAAAGAAAAAGTGTCTAGTCGTTCGTATGAAAAAAAACGAGGTCCCGTTACCCTCTACCTAAAAGACTAAAAGAAGCCCTCCAGACAAAATCGAAATATAATCTTGAAGGAGATCAACTCATTCCTAGTAATTTCACACTTACCGACATGATTGGGCGTAAAATTGGTACTCAACTGTACAAATATAATTGTTATTTTATAGATCACTAACATATTAATACGTTATAATTATCTCTCAGTGTCTTATAACAAGGACATTTTATTAACCCATATTAATTTTAAGAGCACATATTAAAGACAGGGTTCATAACAGCAGAATGGATTATGGATGGTTTAGATAGAGAGAGAGAGAGAGAGAGAGGGGGGGGCAGAGAGAAAATGGGGTTTAACCTCTACTCGACACAAACTAGGACATTTCGGGACTAACATATGGTTTAATTTTATTTCAATAATTCGCTTGCGCGTAGGTTTTTTTTTTTAGCAGTGGGAGGAAACCGGAGGACCCGGAGAAAACCCACGAGGTTGGACAGGCGACCCTACTCCTTGTCACGTACAACCGGGGATTCGAAACCACGCTAGTTGATTCAATGACAGGCCTTATGATACAGCGCACACGTGCTAACAATTCGGCCATCCAACCCCTCTACATTTATGTAAAGCCAATGCAGAAACTCAATGTTTAAAGTGATCATCCTAATGGGAATATATGATTAATCATGCAAGATGACCACGACGGCTAACGCGTATGCTTTAGATCTTAAGGACTGTCAAATTTTCGGTTGGTGTGATTTATTAAATAAAGATCACCATGTTAGTCCTACAATGATCCCGTTTGAGCTGAGTGGACGCCAAAGTCCAACATTTTAATGGGGTTTAACGTCCACTCGACACAAACTAGATCATTTCGGGACTAACATATGATTTAATTATATTTCAATAATTCGCTTGCGACGTAGGGGTTCTTTAGCGGAGGACCAGATAAAACCGACGAGATTGGAAAGGCGACCCTACTCCTTGTCACGTACAACCGGGAATTCGAAACCACGCCAGTTGACTCAATGACAGACCTTGTGATATAGCGCACACTTGCTAACCATTCTGCCATACACCCCACCCCCTTTAGATAAAGAGCTGGCAGGTCTCGCTATAATAGTTTTTAAAAAATTGAATATGGCGAAAATTTCATTCAATTTACTTCATTTTGAGCGGCGTTGTTGAAAGAATAGTGTAGTCTCAGTTGGCATTGCTACCGTTGTAACGACAATAAGCATATCTCGATTATCCAATTTTTAAATTAAATTATTAGCTGTCAATCGTATTTAAATCTGTTGAAAAAACAAAACCACCCGAAAGAGAACGAGATCTGTAGTGTATTCGGTGTAGCCTATGGGCTATAAGAAACGTGTACTGTCGACTGTCGCCATATTACCAGTAATGGCGATATTGTTTTGTTTCTGAATGAATAGGGGTCGTCATGATTAGCTCTTAAGGATAGAATGTTTATATCGTACCTTCTATTGATTTCTAATTGAATATGGGGTCTCCATTAAGAGCTCTTAAGGATAAAATGTTTTGTATTCGAGAAATATCTCGTGGCTAGCTTCTGTTGTCTGAAAACCATGGCCATAGTTTTAACCCGTTTTAACCCAATAAGAGTATCTCTCCTTAATGATCCATTAACTGGGAAATAATCCATTAATTAGAACAAAGGATGGGCACGGTACTTTGCGTTGTCTTAGAGATTAAAATTCTTCCAGATTAATTAGACTGAAAATATTGACTGAAGGTGATTAGAACGGCAATAATGAATTTAATTAACCAGTTACCACAATATCTTATTTTTCTGCATCAAGGGCATGCTTGATCAGAGATATTCTCTGTACGGTGATTGTTATGTTGTGGTTTTCCCGTGTCAGTCATGCAGGACGAAAATCGAGGTCCCGTGTATACATTTGCCGCATTGGCGTGCACGTAAAAGAACCCTTGACAGTTGGAATTCCAATTAAGGGTAGGTCATAGCGCCGCTATCCGTGCAAAATGTCCCTCGCAGCACACTGCATGGCGTATGACCGTCATCATAAGCTCAGTCAGGGCAAAAAAGTAGGATGTTAAACCGTATTTCATTTCATCTGTTAAACCACATATATAAAGCGGAAGCAAATATCCATTGGACGATATGTTCCCTCAGCACCGTATATAGTATTATATTACTCATTCGTCTGATTATACCTAATCCCACTAAACACTGCTTTAACGAAAGCAAATTTCTGTTTCAAATTATGACTGGTCAATGGTTCGATTAACAACCAATAGCTAACTGCGTTACAAAATTGGACCAAATATGTTTACATAACGTTACGTCGGGGCTAACGATTTTATTATGCCCAATTAACCAGTGCATAGCAGAATATTGCAAAAAAACTTATTGCGTGACAAACGAGGCTATCAAGTCGAAAACAATGTAAACAATACTGTCTGGAGACGAACATACTTTCACTGTTTTTAATACCTTAAATCACTGTCCAAAGTTTTAGGGAAGACCCAGATTAAACGAAGGGCTCTCATGTTGCTGTACTTGGGATAGATTTGATTGAATGGGAAGAATAGACAAATTCCCCCAAAAGTTCAAGTATCAGAAGCCAATTCAGCAATGGCCAGAGAGGGATTTCTCGGGCCATTGCTTCAGGAATATGTATATTGCCTGCCTCTGACTTTATTCATCACTCTTTATTTAGTTCCGGCTTCTAGTAGGCCTACACCCTAGTATATTATTTTAACCGTCTTCTATTTTGAGCATCACCCATTATTTATCTAGTTCCGCCTTAAAGCATCATATACTGTATATAAAATCTCGAGTTTATTAAACTTATGTAGAAGTGTACCGAGTTAATTGTCTCTTACAATGATTAACAATTTTACTTTATATTGATTTTTGTTCTGAATCAATTTATTCTGGTTATGACAACATGATTGGTCAAAATTTCGGTATAAATTAAGTTTATTCTGATGAACTTTATCTTTGCTGAGAAAATACAGTGGCGTTATCTTTCAATCCGCAGGTAATATATTTTACATTTATTATGGATAAAATGAACGAATGAATGATATGAGCTAAATCTCCATTCTTTGCCACCTAGAAATGGACGCAAATGGGTGGCAACGCATATAATAATGTAATGTGAATGTATATAAACTGATTTACATTCAATCGTTTCTAATGAGCTGTGTTCGGCGAAGTACGCGAAGAGTCCAAATTGAAAGTCAGTCTTTATTGTCTGGTTATTCCAGTCTACACTGATAGTATTTATTTTGCTGTGCTAATTTTAATTGTGTATTAAATATTGGATACCAGAAGCCCATATTTTTACGGTAAGATAACAACATCAGTGTTGATTTAAATTGACCAATAAGTCGAGTTTTCAGTGTCGAGGACTGTTTGTGATTTTAAGTTAGAGATTTGCCTCCTTTAATGGCATGTCAGCGCCAGCTGGAATATATGGCTCCAAATTACAATCTGGTGGTGGCCCAGTCCGTATGATGGTGGCCCAGTCAGTATGACGGTGGCCCAGACAGTATGATTGTTGCCCAGTCAGTATGGTGGCCAAGTCACTATGGTGGTGGTCCAGTCAGTATGATGGTGGCTCAGTCAGTATGACGGTGGCCCAGACAGTATGGCAGTGGTCCTGTCAGAAAGGCGCCGAATAACTAACCAGGCGGTTCCGGGTTTGATCTCGATGTTGACCGAAAACGTTCCTAGCGATTTACCAGCCTGTTTTCCGGGTTGTCAGTGGTAAATGACGGATAGCCTGTGGCATTGAACAACGTCTAGAAGTTCGGATTGGACGTAAGAGAACGCTTGCCAGTTGGAATTAACAATGCGGAGGTTGAAATACGGGTAAACTCTCATTTAGTAATAACACTTTCAAACTAATATATATATTTTTTTTTTTTCAGGAATGAACACGACCGAGAACAATGACCTCACCACAGAATCACCCGAAGCCGTATTACGATTTTACTCAAAGCAAAGAAAAGAATATTATGTTCTTACGGTTGAAGAAATGGAAACATGGCGTTTCGTATTTTATTGTTTCGTGATGCCCATAACCATCGTCATTGGTCTAGTTGGAAATGTCAGCAGTTTTGTTGTCCTAAACCGAAAAGCATTACGTTCAACACAGACCCTAGTTCTTCTTGCCCTTACGTTTACGGACACCGTAAATGTATTGGCAGCGCTTTGGTTTTGCGTAACGTTCACTGCCAAATATTTCTATCGAGAGGAACTCGAAAATCTTTTGAATTTCATTTATCCCTATATTGGCTCTTTCTTTTATGTCATTTGGGGTCGAATTTCCAGTTTGTTGGTTGTTGTGATCAGTGTGGAGCGTTGCATCATAGTGATAGCTCCACTCCGGGCAAAGTTCATCTGGACCAGAAAGGTCGCTATGGTCAGCATTGCTATCAGCTATGTATTGCCGTTACTCATACTCACTCCGAGCATTTTGGAATACAAATCGGAAAGAATATATGAACAAAACTCAACTAATTATAAAGTTGGCCTGCGTCTCACTGAGCTAGGGAAAGATCGAGATTTTTACGGTACAATGTACAACGTTTCTGTTGCGGTTCTGCGATACATCCCTACTCTGATCGTAATGTGTGCGAACATTGCTATCAGTATTGGCTTGTGGTACCATACAGTACAGCGAAGAAAACTTACAGAAGGAGCAGTATGCAAGATGTCGTCTAGTGACCTACAGATTACAAAAACGCTTCTGCTCATATCACTAGTGTTCTTCTTCACAGCGATGCCTGGCACCCTGATCCTCCTTATCCAAAACATCGATCCGGAATATAACTTTCCGTTTTTCCGGAACAATGCCTACAATGCAGCGTTAATTGTATCTTACTGGTTGGAAATTCTGAATTCTTCTATTAACTTCATCATTTATATCATTTCAAACAAAAGATTCCGAAGGGAGTACAAAGAATTACTGTCGTGCGGTTCCCAGAAATTGCCCAGGAATATACATGCCTCCAAATACAGTTTAAACATGACCAGTTCATCAACATTACCAAAAGAGGGTGACAGCGTAACAAGTCAACGAGCATAGTTCTAGAGCAGAAAAGCTTAGCCATATATTTGATGTCAGTATGTCACTTGGGTGTTATTATTCCGCGAGTTATGGTTATTCTGATTGTTAAACTGTTTCTTGACTTTGACAAACCTTTTAAAACCTCCAGCTGGTACTGTTCGTTCTGTGGATACGTGATATATTTTGAAACCACGGTCTAGTCAACCCTTCTATGTTTCATAATGTGTATGTAACTGTAACATTGATAATTTATTTTTTTTTAAAATAGTAATTGCAAGTGAACTGCATTACACACAAGCAAAGGCGAAACGACAATCCCGCGGACAAGACACAAACCATACTGATATGTATAACATTAAACATACCAATATCAAATCAGGTGGATCGATTCGAAAGCCAGTTTTGAGCGTTCATTGTGCTGTACACGCCCGGGTTTGTAATGCCACGGGCTTCACTCGGGTTGAAAAACAAAACAATGATTTACAAGAAAGAGAGAGAGAGAAATGGGGTTTAACGTCCACTCGACACAAACTAGGTCATTTCGAGACTAACAAATGGTTCAATTTTATTTCAATAATTCGCTTGCGCGTAGGGGTCTTTAGCAATAGGAGGACCCGGGGAAAACCCACGAGGTTGGACAGGCGATCCTACTCCTTGTCGCGAACAACCTTGTGTGTTTTCTCTGGGTCTTCGGTTTCCCCCACTGCCAAAGACCCCTACGCACCTGCGAATTATTGAAATAAAACTGAACCATGTGTTAGTCCTGAAATGACCTAGTTTGTTTCGAGTGGACGTTAAACTCATCTCTCCCTCTCTCCTTTAAATACTAACGCGATATATATATATATATATTTTTTTTTTTTTATTACCAACTGATGGAATTTGCGTGAAGCGCTGGCTCGCTAAACTGGAGGTTGGGTGTTCGATCCCTGCATTGGCCGAGAAAGTTCATGTAGATTTTCCATCGTGGTTCCCCGTTGTCAGTGATGCAGGACGGAGGGCCTGACAAGTTATTCGGATAGGACGAAAAACCGAGGTCCCGTGTACACATTGGTGGTCACATAAAAGATCCCTTGACAGTTGGAATTCGATATAAGAGTAGGCCGTAGTGCCGCTGTCCGGGCAAAATTTCCCTCATTGCACACTGTATGGCGTATGCCCGTCTTCATTAGCCCAGTTCGGAGCAGAAAAGTAGGACGTTAAACCCCATTCCATTTCCGATAGTATGTACTATAATGTTACCTCTTATTAATAAAGATATCTACAACCAATGTCATGAAGTTTTGTTAACAAACCAAATAATTTGTTTGATTTTTGCAGAAGTTTTTAGTCTTTTGTCGATTATCTTGTTGAATACGATTCTTGAATAGTAATGGTTTCTCTTTGTTAGTAATGTAGGACAGAGGACTTGACAAGAAACAGCGTCTAGTCGTTCGGGTGTAACGGAAAATTGTGGTCACGATTACACATTGGAGTGCACGTAAAAGAACCCATGACAGTTAAAATTCGAAATAAGAGTAGGCCATAGCACTGCTGTCAGAGAAAACTTCCCTTATAGCACACTGCATGATGTATGCCAGTCATCATTAGCCCATTTCATCTCATTTGTTTGTCCGTTCCACTACATGTCTCCGGTCTTTTCGCCGTTTGAAGGAGGCCGCATATAGAGCGGTAAAGACAATAAACTCGATTCCTAGCGTGGACTGAGGCATGATATTTCAATCCGAGTTTCCGCTTGTTCTGTAGTACTTTACAGTTTGGATTTCAGTCCGATTATAACCCCCACTTACCTCTGTAGAACAGCCACGGTGTGTCAGTGAGTAGGAGGTCTCAGGTTGGCCGAAAATGTTCCTCGGGAATTCCGGTTCCCCGAGGCCCAGGCGTGCACGTAAAACAACCCTTGACAATTGGAATTCGAATAAGAGTAGGTCGTAGCGCCTCTATCCGGGAACATATTCCTTCATAGCTCACAGCATGGTGCACGCCAGCTTTCTTTAGCCCAGGTGATACAGAACAGTAAGACGTCAAACCGTACACATTTGGACTTTTTAACTAATACGAAGTACTAAGGAGCCCCGTGAATAAAGCGAAGGGTCATTAACAAGAAGGTCCCGGGATTTATCGGCTTCGTTTCCCCCGTGTCAAAGGTGGTGGTGCAGGGTGGAGGTTTGGGTAAGGAAGAACGTCCCGGCATCGGACGACAACGCCAAGTACTGTTTACACACTTAAGTACAGATACAAGAACCCCTGGCAGTTGAAATTCGACAAAGAGTAGTAGAAACATCGCTGTCCGGCAAATTTTCCTCGTAGTACACAGCATGACATATTATGCCCGGCTCCATTATCTGGGTTGGTGAAGACAAGTAGGACGTTAAACCCCTAGTCCTGCTTCCGGTGAATTAACTACTAAAAATGAATTATCTCCCTTTAATCAGTTTTATTGCTGAACGACCACCGCTGGTTTTTTTTTTTTAACCGAAATAAGATTGCCACCATCGATGATACGGTCCCCAATAATATGAAGGCGCAGCCGATGTGGTCGTAGTTGTAGTCGTTGGTGTAATATAATCATTGATGCTATAAGCATACGCTTTCAATCCTTTGAGTGTGTCTTGAGCAATATCTGCTATTTTGGATTCTGACAGAATAAAACCGTTAAATGCACCGGAGGAAGGTGGCAACTCGACTGTGTAGGAATAAGGTATACCAGCCACTGCCTTGGCATAATCATCCGAACCTCCAGCTGCAACATCTACAAAAATATGATCAGATGAATTAATATAATTATTCTTATACAGAAATGATTATAGAGGCAGCAGGACAATGAACAAAATCCTATCAAATCCGACAAACAAAAACAAACCCAAACAAAACAGATAAACACGGACACCAAAGATAAAAGTAAGCAATCTTCGTAAAAAACACAAATGAAATTAACAATTTGTTTGTCTCAAGAATGATTTTCCGGTCTGAAGCTAGATGGAGGGCTTGACAAGGAACTTTGTCTAGCCGTTAGGACGGGACGATAAACCGAGGCCTCATTTATACATTGGCGTGCACGTAGATGAATCCTTGGAAGTTGGAGTCCAATAAAGATTAGACAAAAATGCCACTGTGTGTGCATAAATTGTTGCACAGCACGCTGCATTAGTCCGGTTGGTACAGACGTTAAACACGATTTCATTTTATTTAGAAAGATTTATTTTACCAAGAAACGCAATTTAAATTTAGAAAAATATGCATAATTTGGGGCAAAACAGCGATGTATGTGTCTAACGTTTTATCTTAACTTACATAAGACTTTAGCAGAGGCACCAATGGTATATTGTTTACTCATAGCATTGACTGAAGTTCTGGCGATAGCTCTCTGAAAATAAAATATAAAACAAATAGTAATCGTATTGTGTATATACTAGGGGGGTTGGATGGTCGAATGGTTAGCACGTGCGTGCTGTATCATAAGGCCTGTCATTGAGTCAACTGGCGTGGTTTCGAATCCCCGGTCGTACGTGACAAGGAGTAGGGTCGCCTGTCCAACCTCGTGGGTTTTCTCCGGGTCCCCCGGTTTCCTCCCACTGCTAAAGACCCCTACGCGCAAGCGAATTATTGAAATAAAATTAAACCGTATGTTTGTCCCCATTTCTCTCTCTCTCTCTCTCTCTCTCTCTCTCTCTCTCTCTCGTGTATATACTAACATCCTCATTAAGGCTTGATCTCGCTTTAAATACGTACATCTTATCAAGCCCTTCACGTAATACCCCGTGATTCATTTTCCTCGATGATCGCGAATACCACGTCTCGCGTTCTCCAGCTAAAATGTCTACTTGTGATAATCGAGTTGCAAAGTTCAAGTTTCGTTCAATGACAAGGTTTCGGTGGAGGTCGCCATGTTTGAGTTGAGTGTGTTTGTGTTACAACCTCTCATTGGACGCTACTGTTCACGTGTCTGCAGTAAAGGGAGATAACGTAGGTATAAGTTTTGGAAACTGCAAAGTAGTGTAGCAACGTCTAGATGCTGTAAAACTCGCACCGGTCGGTAAGCACTGCCTTCGTCGACTAAAACAGAAAATAATAATGCTGAGGAAAGAAATGCAGTATTATGGAGATATCGGAACATCATCAAGTCTTTCACACGTGCTTTCAATATACCAGTATATAGCAATGAGGGCAGGAGGTCTAGTGGTTTAACGCCTGCGAGTTAGGTCATAAGATCTGTCATCGAGGCAAGTGGCGTGGTTTGGATTCCCCACTTGAACGTGACGAAGAGAAGGGTCGTCTATCCCACCTCTGGGTCATCCGGTTTCCTCCCACTGCTAAAGACCCTTACGCAAAAGCGAATTATTGACATAAAATCGAACCATATGTTAGTCTCGAAATGAACTAGTGGTCGTCAAACCCCATCTTTCTCTCACATAACAATGATGATTGCAATGATTAATGGAGAATGTGGTTTGAAAATTGAACATCTGATGATGGTCTGATGGAAATGAAAGCCATAGACTCTTGACATATTACTTTTCATATATATATAAGCATCAATTACAATTGGTTTGGTTATTTTTAAATATTTATAAATCTAAACTTACCAGTTTATTATCATCCACTGCCGTTTCTGTATCCGAGAAACCCCAGGGATATAACCAGTATAAACCATAAGAATGAAGAGTTAAATAACCTTTTATATCGGGTTTCTTTGACAACATAAAATTTCTCAAATTCCTACTCTCTGGTTCTGAGAATTTATAAGCACCAGAGAACAGATCTGAACAAGGTTGGTTCGATCCTCCTGCAGCTGTGATAAAAAAAAATCTTTCCATTGAATATCTTACCAGAAACTTCAGTCATTCAATCACCTATTTAAGTTTTTGTTTTTGTTTTATTATTTTATTTTATTTATTTATTTATTTATTTATTTTATTACTTTTGTCCATTACTTTATCGTTCTTTTTCATATTTATATGGAAGTACCAGGATTCCACTCGTAACCAAAATTTATTTATTTTATTTATAAGTTTTGTCCATTACTTTATCGTTCTTTTTCATATTTATATGGACGTACCAGGATTCCATTCGTAACCAAAATTTCGGTTTATATCGACACCAATACAGCGACTATTAGATGCACGCCTTCGATTCTTTCTCCATAATCTGTTATTGACCTACAATATATAAATACATTATTTGGTTATCATCTGTTACTACAGTGTATGATTATAATATGTTACTAGTCTATACAATACACTAGTAACAGATTATCATCTGTTACCAGTCTACAATGTATGATTATAATCTGTTACTAGTCGGTGGGGGGGGGGGGTAGCCGAGTGGTTAGCTCGAGTGCGTTGAATCATCAGGTCTGTAATTTGAGTTAACTGGCGGGGTTTCGATTCCCATATTGTACGTGACAAGGAGTAGGGTCAACTGTCAAACCTCGTGGATTTTCTCCGGGTCCTCCGGTTTCCTCCCACTGCTAAAGACCCCTACGCGCAAGCGAATTGTTGAAATAAAATTGGACCATATGTTACACCCGAAATGACCTAGTTTGTGTCGAGTGGACGTTAAACCCCATCTCTCTTTCTCTCTCTGTTACTAGTCCATATACAATACAATATCTACCAGACTGTAACAGACAACCTATCTAAACGTAAGCTGTTATTATAGAAAACACAGCCCATCTAAACGCAAGCTGCCACCAGTGTACAATATACAACTTATGTAATCGTAAGCTGCTACCAGCCTCAACAGAAAGTCCTAAGCTGCTTGGTACTATAAGTACTTGATACGATTTGATGGAATTAGTTTCAAGCATTGACTTTAACTGCAAATCTTCTGTGATTTTGAATTACAATACAGTTTATATTGGATGGATTAAAACAACACCAAATCTCTGGTATAAAAATAAAACAACTTACGCTACTTCTAGAATGTTCATATCCATCAGCGTTGACTAGAGGTGCAATATAAAAGTCAAATTTTCTCAATAAATCGGTTATTTGTGCATCTCTAGTTGGATTTATAGCTAACTGAAAGAAAATAACAACAACTTTCACTATTTCACTGAGGCGCGATAAAGGTTTGAGGTGTGGGGTATTAATTAAAATAAAATGAAATGGGGTTTAACGTCCTACTGTTCTGCTCCGGACTGCATGGGCTTTGACGCCATACAGTGTGCTATGAGGGAAATTTTGTCCGGGCAGCGGCACTACGGCCTACTCTTATATTGAATTCCAACTGTAAAGGGATCTTTTACGTGCACGCCAATGTGTACGTGGGACCTCGGTTTTTCGACCCATCTGAACAACTAGAAACCTGTTCTTATCAAGCCCCCGGTTCTGCACCACTGGCAAGTGGAAACCACGTTCTCGGCCAATACCGGGGGGGGGGGCGAACCCGCGACCTCTGGCTAGCGAGCCAGCGTCTTACTCACTCAACCACCGTGGCTCCCAAGTTTATTGATGAACATAACAATGGTTACCCACATTTCGTTGCTCGTAGGGGTCTCATAACATGCTACATGAGTCGAATATTATACAAATTGAGAACGGTTCGTTTACGTGCACACCAACGTGTATACGGGACCTCGGTTTTTCGTCTCATCCGAACGACTGTACGCTCTTTCTTGCCGGGCCCGCCCTCCTGTATCAATAACAAGCCACCACTTGGATCGAACCCTGGACGTTTTGGTTAGTGAACCAGCATCTTACTCAATGCGGCAGTGTGGCTTCTAGTGTGTCTGCACGTATCATATGATTTTTTTTACAAAAATAAGAAATCATTCAGTGGCAAGAGGGGTTAAAGGGAAGTAACTGCTATTTACCTGGTATATAAAATTGATTGCGGTGGCAGGTGCTATCCATTCTCTAGCATGTATACCTGCATCTATGAATATAGCTGGTTTCCATCTACCCATGGGCGTACCTAACTAATAAAAATATCAATATATCATCTTTCAAGGCCAGAGACCCAATGAACATACGTACAATGTACAAAACTGTCATAAAGTTGGATTAATACTGTGAGTTATTATACTAGGAATTTAGTAATTTTTTATATTAATGTGATATTAATCTGTTCGTCGAGTTTATGTGAAAATATAAATGGAAACGTTCAATATGGAATCTCTAATTACTTACTTTTATGAGATGTGTAAGTCAGGGCCCTATTCAATTCACTACTTTCAACTTATTGATTACTTCCTTTTATAAAATATTACTTCCTTTTATAAAATATACTGATTACTACCTTTTATAAAATATATTATTTACCTCCTTTTATAAAATATATTGATTACTTCCTTTTATAAAATATATTATTTACCTCTTTTTATAAGATATATCATTTACTTTTATAAAATATATCATTTACTTTTATAAAATATATCATTTACTTTTATAAAATATATCATTTACTTTTATAAAATATATTGATTACTTCCTTTCATAAAATAATTTGATTACTTCCTTTTATAAAATATATTATTTACCTCTTTTTATAAAATATATCATTTACTTTTATAAAATATATCATTTACTTTTATAAAATATATCATTTACTTTTATAAAATATATCATTTACTTATATAAAATATACTGATCACTTTACCTACTTTTAAAAAATATACTGATTACTTACTATTATAAAATACATGTATATCGATCACTTACTTTTATATAATATATTGATTACCTCCTTTTATAAAATATATTATTCACTTTTTTAAAATATATCATTCACTTTTATAAAATATTGATTGCTTACTTATATAAAATATATTGATTACTTACTTATATAAAACATATTGATTCTTTACTTTCATAAAATATATTGATTGCTTACTTTTATAAAATATACTGATTACTTATATTTATAAAATCTATCGATCACTTACTTTCATAAAACATATTGATTACTTACTTTTATAACATAGGTATCTCTGAGTTCGTTTGTTTTATTTATGTTGATTAACTCAGCCGTGGGTACCACGTTGGCAATTTGAAATAAAAAGGCATTAATCTGTAAAATATAATATCATTAATAAATATATTATGTGGCTATATATATTTTAAGCTAAGCTATAACACTTTACAATCCATAAAATGTTTGAAAATTGAGGAAAACTCTGGGCCTCATTTTTAAGTAACCCTCTTTGACGATCTACTTCATATTGTGATGTATTGGCCTGCATTTCTATGACACAGCAGGGATACGAGCGTAATGTTCTGGGAATAGTGGATTTCGTTAGCCCAGTTGGCACAGAAAACCCATTCTCTTTGTCTCGGAGTTTAAAAGGTTTACGATGAATGGCCAGGCACTTCTATATTACAAACGGCTTTCTATAGAAATAATTTGTAGGATTGAATTTTCAGATCACGTTTTGGAATTAGGGGTTATCTTTAACCAAAGTAATAATCGTCTGTCGGTCTTGAGTTGAACCCTTTGTGAAGTCCTACATTTCTGCACCAACTGGGATATTGTTGACGGGCTATGAGGTAATTGTTGACGGCCTATGTTGACGGGCTATGAGGTAATTGTTGACAGGACATCGGCAGAAGGGCCTACTCTTATATCGAATTCCAACTGTCAAGGGATCTTTTACATGCACGCCAATGTGTACACGGGACCTCGGTTTTTCGTCCCATCCGAACGACTAGATAGCTGTTCTTGTCAGGCCCTCTTTCCTGCATCACTGACAATGGGGAACCACGCCGGAAAATCTGGATGAACTTTCTCGGCTAATGCAGGGATCGAACACCCGACCTCCAGACTAGCGAGCCAGCGTCTTACCCACTTAGCCACCATGACCCCCCCTCGTAGCCATGGAATTTAATCGTCGTAGTCCTGTAGTTTATGATAACCAATTTACAGTACGTACTTCATTGTAAGATAAGAAATGTTTTGTATAGTCTTGCAGCTCTCTTATAGCACGTCTTTTTCTATTGCTCTTTGTTTCCCTGTCTACCAGACTGAAAATATAAAACATGCATGTACATATACTATAGAATTCTAGTCTATAGAATTCAGTAAAAAGCAGTTACTGTAGTCGATAGAATTCAGTAATAAGCAGTAATTGCAGTCCATAGAATTCTAGTCCATAGAATTCAGTAATAAGCAGTAATTATAGTCCATAGAATTCTAGTCCATAGAATTCAGTAATAAGCAGTAATTGTAGTCCATAGAATTTGGTAATTGTAGTCCATAGACTTAAATGAAATGAAATGAAATGGGGTTTAACGTCCTACTGTTCTGCTCCTACACTGGGCTAATGAAGACGGGCATACGCCATACAGTGTGCTATGAGGGAAATTTTTCCCGGGCAGCGGCACTATCGCCTACTCTTATATCGAATTCCAACTGCCAAGGGATCTTTTACGTGCATTCTAATGTATACACGGGACCTCGGTTTTTCGTCTCATCCGAAGGACTAGACAGCTGTCCTTGTCAGGCCCTCCGCCATAGACTTAAGTAATAAGCAGTAATTGCAGTCCACAAAGTTCAGTAATAAACAGTAACCATAAAATTCAGCAATATTGTAGTCCATCGAATGTTCAGAGTATTTCGAGTTTAATAACAAAATGACATTTAAACAATTCATAATATTAGACCTATCTCATAACTTTAATCCGATCTGATTATGTAGTAAATGTTGTTTTGGTGTTTTTATTATAAGTACACCATCATACTCGACTTTATTTCTTATATCCTTGAACAGATTAAATTGAAATTCTAATTAATAATAATGTTGTTGTATTTTTAATAATTTGTGGAATTAATCGTAACAATACTACAGCTTATAACCATTGTTTGTATTATATTTATGTCATGGTATTGTAATTATAAAAGAATAAGAGCGATTTAAATTAAAAACATAATAAAGGGATAATGTTGCACTTAACTTGTATATACCGCAAAATTAAAAAAAAAAGACAAAACATTGGAATGATTCTGTTATATCACCGGTGTCGTAAACATAGTCTTACTAAAAAAAATTTTTTTTCAATTTCTCAGAAGCCTGAAGATTACAAATCATTCATATTAGAAAACAGAAATCAGGAATGAAAAGAAATATAGTCGGGCATACATCATGTAGTTTTGTCGGTTGATGTTTAGCGTGATGTCAATAATTTACACGGTTTTTTTTCGTCCCATTGGAAGGACTAGACGTCTTTCCTTGACAGAATCCACCGTCTTGCAAAGAGACAACTAGGCTGGAAAATCCCAAGGAACTTTCTAGGTCAACACCAGCATTGAAATGAAATGAAATGGGGTTTAACGTCCTACTGTTCTGCTCCGACTGGGCTAATGAAGACGGGCATATGCCACATAGTGTGCGCTATGGCCTACTCTTCTATCGAATTCCCAACTGCCAATGGATCTTTTACGTGCACGGGACCTCGGTTTTTTGTACCATTCGAACGACTAGACAGCTGTCCTTGTCAGGCCCTCCCCGTGCTGCACCACTGACAAGGGGAAACAACGCCGAAAAATCGCGATGAACATTCTCGGTCAACACCCGAAGCGGACCGACGACCTCTAGGCTAGTGAGCCAGCGTCTTGCCCACTTAGCCACAATGACTCCCACCAGCATTGATCCCGGGACCTAGTGGTTAAGGAGCAAGCATCATACTCACCGAACCACCGGGGTTACAAAAGAGAAATCAACTTACATTTGTACATCATCAATTAATTCTTCAAAGTCTAGTTTTAATCTTTGCAATGTGTTGTTTAAATGTTTAGCAAACTTCGGGGCTACTCGTACATCCATATGGTCATTGTCTACGTGAGGTAGATGCCAAAAATCTAACTGAAAATTAAAATTAAAATTGAAATGAAATGGGATATAACACATTACCTTTTCTAATCAAAACAGGCTATGCGGGCAAATTTTAACGGACGTGGACTTTTCCGTCTATTATTCAACCTGGGTGTGTTCGTCCCATCCGAACGACTAGACACGGTTCGGGAACCTGGTGGCTCCCTGGTTAATGAACCAGAAAACTACTCACTGGGTCACTCTGGGTTAAAAAAGGGTATTAAACACCATTGCACTAATATTTAATTTACATCAAAATATAATCTCAGATAATATTTGTGTAATTCATATTACAACAGTAAACAATGGGGGGGGGGGACACTACCGTCAAAAGTGAGTTACTAGGTTTTGACTTTTGACGGTAGAACAGTCAAGAATGTGCCTTCGATGAAAAAACAGTATTTCAGAAAAAATTCATTTATAGCAAAGTATAAATAGTAACTTCCAAAGCACTATATGTTTTTTTACTCTGGTATTGGCTCCCTATCAAATCTTATTTACGGATACTCTGATGTCTGTCAAGATGGGTCAAATTTTAAGTATATTTAGCACCAAAATTGTCACCCACGCCCCTGGGAGTCCCTCGTGGCTCCCTCCTTAAAACCCCGGGCTGGTTTCCTCGCTACCTAGGGTTGTTTGGTCGATCCGCGTTCGTAAAAACCCTTTCTGAAAAGCTGCTCCAACCCCTCTTCTGGGCAAATGAATGTTCATCACAGTTACATTTTGACCAGGTCATGACGAATAATCAATAAGGGAGATAATTTATAATTCATTAGGTTACTTTATCGCAGCATAATGAAATGAAATGAAATAAAATGGGGTTTAACGTCCTACTCCGAACTGGGCTAATGAAGACGGGCATACGCCATACAGTGTGCTATGAGGGAAATTTATCCCGGACAGCGGCACTATGGTCCACTCTTATATCGAAATCCAACTGTCAAGGGATCTTTTACATGCACGCCAATATGTACGCGGCACCTCGGTTTTCGTCCCACCCGAACGACTAGACAGCTGTCCTTGCGAGGCCCCCCGTCCAGCATCACTCACAAGGGGGAAATACACCGGAAAATCTGAAGGAGCTTTCTCGGCCAATGCAGGGATCGAACATCCGACCTCCAGGCTAGCAAGCAAGGACCTTACCCACTTAGCCACCGTGATCCCCAGTTATATATAAATGGTTTATTTTTTAAATGGCTAAACAGTAATTAGATGATATGAAATAGGATTACACGCCTATTGTTCTGATGCGACAGCGTAATTCTCAAATAAGTAACTAGTAATGAATGAAATCGGGTTTAAGATCCTACTGTTCTACCCCGACTAGGTAAAGAAGACGGGTATACCTCATACAGTCCACTACGGCCTAATCTTACATCGAATTACAACTGTCAAGGGATCTTTTACGTGCACGCCAATGTGTACACGGGGCCTCGGTTTTTCGTCCCACCCGAACGATTAGACAGCTGTCCTTGTCAGGACCTACGTCCTGCATCATTGACAAGGGGGAACTCTGGATGGACTTTCTCGGTTAATGCAGGGATCGAACACCCGATCTCTAGGCTACCAAGCAAGGGTCTTACCCACTTAGCCACCGTGATCCCCAGTAATATTTGAAGACAGCTTCATTTTTAAATGACTGAACAGTAATTAAGTGAAATGAAATAGGATTACACGCCTATTGTTCTGATCTGACAGCGTAATTCTCAAATAAGTAACTAGTAATGAAATGAAATAGGGTTAAACACCCTATACTGTTCTGCCCCGACTAGGTAAAGAAGACGGGCACACCTCACACAGTGTGCCATAAGGGACATTTTGTGCGTACAGTGGTGCTGTGACCTACTCTGATATCGGATTCCAATTGTCAAGGGTTCTTTTGCGTGCATACCAATGCGTACCAAAGGAGCAAGTTTTTTCGTCCCATCCAAACGACTAGACAACAGCTGTCCTTGTCAGGCCCGCTGTTCTGCATCACCTACAAGGGAACATCACGCCGAAAAGTCTGGGGAACTTTCTCGGCCACACCGGGAGCGAACCTGAGACCTCCAGACTAGCGAGCCAGCGTCTTAGTCACTGAGCCATGGTGGAAGTGAACTCTAGGAACGAACGAACGAGCGGTTGCCCGAGTAACCAGTAACCTAGAAATGCAAATAAATAACATTTATAATGAAACCTATATATACCTTTAGATCGTGTTCTAAATCTGTTAAAGTTTTAACTTGTTCATATGACGTCGGTTTTATTCTTAACACTTTGTGTCTGAAATGTAATTGTCAAAATTTATCATAAAATGTATTCGGTTATTCGTTAAGTGAGCAACTTAACACTTATCTGAGATACCACAAAAAGGGAAGAAGACGTTAAACTACCACATAGCACTTTGAAGATGGAATTAATTTTAAGCCATCGATTGTAAATAGTGGGCGAAGTCCATTTACTTCACGTCACATGACAAAGTGGAATATAATCCATCAACCATGATACTATTTATAGCCCCTAACAGCCACCAGGGGAATTCCCCTGATACGTCACATGTCATTTGTGATGAAGGAGAGTTCCATTTTACCGGAACCTTTTCCGTCCGTTTCCATCTTCTCAACAGATGTCTTTCTGGCATTTAATTGAAATAATATGAAAATTAGGTAAAAAAAAAAGGGCTTACTAAATTAAATACACAATTAGTCGAACTGTATCTCGCAATGATGAAGTAGATCCGTTTTATTTCCAAAAGTAAACTTCTGATTGTCGCCAATATTTGTCATATCTAATTTAGAGATCCAGTTATCCCTATAAATAATTTGCCGTTTACGTCAATAAATTAGAAATGCATCAACTGCTAACGGGGGGGGGGGGGAGAGATGGGGGGGGGGGGGGTAACGTCCACTACACATAAACTAGGTCATTTCAGGACTAACATATGGTTCAATTTTATTTCAATATCTCGCTTTACGCGTAGGAGTCTTTAGCAGTGATAGGAAACCGGAGGACCCAGAGAAAATCCACGAGGTTGGACGGGCGCGAACCTACTCCTTGTCACGTACAACCGGGAATCGAAACCACGCCAGTTGACTCAATGACAGACCTTACGAGACATCCATTCCCCCCCCCCCACACACACACACACACACCATACACACACACACCGGCCCAACTGCTAATGAAGACGGGGATGCGGATTGAGTGTGCTGTGGCGGGAACATTTACCCAGCGGCGTTTCCGCCTTATCTTCGTCAAATTCCATCTGTCGGGGATTTTTTTACGTGCATGCCAACGAGTACACGTGTAGACCTCGGTGGTTTCTCGTCTATAAGCGGTAGGGAGAAGACGTGGGGACAGGAAAAAATCCACAAGATCAGACTGGCGATCCTACCCTATGTTACATGCAAACCTATAATATGCATACTGTTGCGCGTGTCTCATAAATGACATTATATTTAATATGTGGGTTTCTGACTGACTTTTTCTGATATTTCGTAAAGACTTTTGCTTTTAGCTTAAAGCTCAAGAGGGGACTTTTGAATATTTCACAAGTTTCCCGGTGCAATAAGGAAAAAGTTACATCAATTAAAGTTTGCTTTCGGGAATAGTTCTCCGGTGACACCGAGAAATTATCAACTGATTTATACCAGTTTTTATCTTCGACTTTATGTCAAAATTTGCTTTAAGTTGTCAAATTGTACAATAAAAACATGATGGTTTTTTTTAAGGAGAAACTAGAGAATTCGAAGAATAACTTCTTAATCTTTTTAGCTGAAATGTCAGATTTAGCCTTTTATTATGCAACAATTAAGAAATAAAACGAAGTGAATCCATAAAAAAAAACTTAAGAGTGAACTACAAACACAAAGTGTCCTTTAAAACAGATCTACTTCCCTGTTCTAGATGTCATGAATATATCTATCAAATTTCCACCTACATTAAAGACACATTATGAAAGAGGTAAATCAACCAATTGCAAGTCTTTATTTTGGCTTCAGTTGTTATATAAACCTTTATTTAGACATTGATCAATATGACAAGTCCGTAGTCAACGCTCTGGTCCATCGCATGTCATAGATTTAAAATGGATTAGAACGCCCGCGCGATAAAATGGATAATCGAGACTTACTCTCGTTTGTCCATTAGCTTTGCTACAATAATGAGCAATCTACGCTACATCTCCCAACACTCATAACTTCGCTCAAAATAAAGTAATTTGACTGAAATTTTCAATATATTCATTTTTCATTATCTATTTTTTAACTCTTATAGCTACAATGGTCAGCTAAATTTTACATAATTCATCTTTAACACACACATTTACTAAAAAGGGAAAGGGCAAGCAGTACAGTCGTGTCTTAAAGGTACGGAGGGGGGGGGGGCTAATGGTTGGCACGTGCGCGCTGTATCATAAGGCCTGTCATTGAGTCAACTGGCGTGGTTTCGAATCCCCGGTTGTACGTGACAAGGAGTAGGGTCGCCTGTCCAGCCTCGTGGGTTTTCTCCGGGTCCTTCGGTTTACTCCCACTGCTAAAGACCCCTACGCGCAAGCGAATTATTGAAATAAAATATTCAACCATATGTTAGTCCCGAAATGACCTAGTTTGTAACGAGTCGATGTTAATCCCCCCTCTCTCTCTCTCTCTCTCTCTCTCTCTTTAAGGTACACCCTGTAAGAGCTAAATCTGCCTATTGTGGTTCTTCTTTTTTAGATAGTTCACACAATAATATGCAAATGTCGAGCCGACCATTCAGCAATTATTATAGACTTAATAAAAGTTGAAAATAATCCTCTGGTTGTGTATGCATACACAAAGGCCGAGAAAAAGTCACTCATCGAGCGAGCCATTCCGTTACATTTGCATGATATTAGACCGACTTTTTCGCCAGCAGAGACGCGTACATAGAAAGTGGGCCTTTAACGTTTGTATTTACTTTCGACAACTAGTGATATTGGTATAAGGTTAGATACAGTATATATAAATCTAGTTTAATTATATTCAAGGTAAAGTAGACAACTAGTTCATCTGTTGTCACAAGTATTTACTTTTTAACTAACCCAGTTTCTAAACATTAAATCGCTATACAACAAGTTTTCATATTGGCGTCATTTTAACAGTTTGAGTATGAAAACTAAACATTGCCCAATATATTTTTTTTATTTTAAAGATACACTATGCAAGATTTCAATAAAATGGAATGAAATGAAATGGGGTTTAACGGCCTACTGTTCTGCTCCGAACTGGGCTAATGAAGACAGACATACGCCATACAGTGTGCTATGAGAGAAGTTTTGCCCGGACAGCGGCACTACGAGATTTCGATAAAGAGCTGACAGGTCTTGCTATGATATTTTAAAAATGGATAATGAAAAACGAATACATTGAAAATTTCAGTCAAATTACTTCATTTGGAAAGAAGTTATAAATGTTTGAAGAATAGCGTAGTCTCGGTTTCAATTGCTACCATTGCTACGATAATAAACAAAGTCTCGATTATTCAATTTTAAATTAAAGTATTAAATGGCGATCGTGTTTCAATCCGTTCAAAATTGGGGAATTGGGAGGGTGTAAAATACGTGGAATAGCTTAGTGCCGCATCGTTTTTGCCTCAATAACTCACTACACTAAAATATGACTTGCAAGAAGGTATATATATTAAACATACATTTAAAATGCAAGAGCTAAATCTGCCTATATTGCAGGTCTTTCTTTAGGTTTGAAATGTTTTCTAAATTATTAATTATCCAGGCCATAATCAGCTCTCGATGGCATCGGATTTCTCCGATATTAGATAGATTAGAACAGGTCAGCCATATTTTGATTTAAGCCAAAATTGGAGGAGCGAGACTTAGCTTCGAACAACCAGTACGGTGGCTGAAAGTATTGCACACGTCTTGTCAAACCTTCAAAGGCTAATATCTTCGCTCGCAATAGAGTGATTTGAATGAAATTTTCAAATTATTCATTTTACATAATCTATTTTCGAACTATTATAGCAAGAATGGCTAGCTCTTTATCTAAATCTTACATAATGTATCTTTAAGCGATTGGTAGTCAGTCGGGTTATTCATATAGATTATGTTTTTAATAATTGCCCATGCTATCTCCCGGGCATTGTTTATTCTTTACCATACTCCTCACAGTGTTTCGTTTGATTAGAGCTAATCTCACAACTCACTGCTGTAAACAAAGCGAATTCTTGTTCTAAATTATGACTGGTCAATAGTCCGATTAACAACCAATAGCTAACTGCGTAACAATACCAAACATAGCTCCAAATTGGACCAAATATGTTTACATAACGTTACGTCATGACTCACGATTTTATTATGCCCAATTAACCAGTGCATAGCAGAATATTGCAGAAAAACTAATTGTGTGACAAACAAGGCTATCAACTGTCAACACGATTTTTACTCTGTGGATATAATGTAAACAATATTGTTTTAGGCGAACAACACTTTCACCGTTTTTAATACCTTAAATCACTGTCCAAAGTTTTAGGGAAGACCCCTGATTAAACGAAGGGCTGTCATGTTGCTGTGCTTTTGGATATATTTGATTGAACGGGGAGAATAGACACACTCCCTGAAAAGCGCAAGTATCAGAAGCCAATCCAGCAATGGGCAGAGAGGGATTTCTCGGGTCATTGCTTCAGGAATATGATTATTTACAAGAACTGGTGACTTGATGACTAGCGTATGTCTGTCTGTTCACATTTCAGGTATTACAACAATTGTATTAACCATCTCTACCAGACAAATATAAACGTGATAATCTCTTTTATTATACTGGTAGTTCTGGACTATGTAACTTTCTAAACAAAATTTCGAGATCGGGGAGTTATGTATGTGTGTGTGGGGGGGGGGGGGGGGGGGGTAGGGGTCGCTGGGACCCGGGTACTTCCTGAAACATATACAACAGGCCGGGAGGGGGGGGGGGTCGCTGGGAGTCAGGTATTTCAGGAAACAATTACAACGGCTCTTAATATTTACGACAAATTTGTCAATTGAAAAGGTCAAATGGTGCATTTCCCCAAAGTCATAACTAATAAATATGAGTTGTGATTTTTGTTTTGAAGGTCCATAGGGAATCAAAATGTCGGATCGGATCAGAAGTGTGTCCCTATTCTGCTTTTTAACTTGTAGCCGCCCCTCCAGCCCTTCAGACCCACCGCACCGCACCACCCCTTCCACAAAGTCCTAGATTCGAGGTTGTTGTTATAAGGAACGACATAATGTCATTTTATACAAATTGTGTAAAGATTACCCCCCTTTGATCTGCGAGTATCTAACTTACAATAGAATGAAAAAGGCGAAAGAGTTTAAATGGTTTAAATAAATCTACATTGATGTAAAACATACACTTGATTCAATACACGTCTCTCATCTGTTTCAATTCTTTACATCTTTGTCATAGTATACTGTTTTCTTATCAAAATGAAATGAAATGGGGTTAACGTTTTACTTCTCTGCACCAACTTGGCTAATTAGAGAGAGAGAGAGAGAGAGAGAGAGAGAGAGTAACATCAACTCGACACAAACTAGGTCATTTCGGGACTAACACATGGATCAATTTTATTTCATTTATTTGCTTGCGCGTAGTGGGAGAAAACAGGAGGACCAGAGAGGGAGAAATGGCGTGCACGTAAAAGATCCCTTGGCAGTTGGAATTCGATATAAGAGGAGGCCGGGCAAAATTTCCCTCATAGCACACTGTATGGCGTATGGCCGTCTTTATTAGCCCAGGTTAGGAGCAGAACAGTAGGACGTTAAAGCCCATTTCATTTCATTTCATTTCTTTCCTCGACTTTTAAACTTGACAGATCCATAATTTTCTCAGATTTTTCTACACATAAGCAACGTCCTCTTTCTGACTTAAATTTCACTTATCGACCAATAACACATTCTACAGTAGACATCGCTTACACGTGTGATCAATTTCACAATCTACTGCGATATCTCCTTAGGAGATATCACTTTACATGAATTTAATTGTAGAAACTACTTTTTTTTATTTACAAAGAGCAATTAACATTTTTTAAAAGTGAGAGATTCTCTATTTAGTTAAAGGTGCTAAGAAAGCCATTTAGCAAAATGTGCTAAAGGACACATTTAGCTAAAGATGCTAATTAGGGACACATTTATCCGAAAATGCCAAGGCAAAGATTTATCGACATGTGTTGATATATTTTGATATCAAAAAGGACGAGTAGGAGATTCTGTATATCCCCCTACATTTGGACACATAACTAGTACGACCATGCAATGGACCAGGGAATGGCTATGACGTCATCGCAGCCATTTTGGAATTGTGAAGCAAGCGTGCCAAAATGAGTAGGCTTGGCGACCAGTCAATGGCCCAAAAAGGGGAGATTGCAAAGAACTGAAAGTGTAAGTAGAACTTACCCATGAAACGGTTTGTTAGAAGATTGCACGCAAACAGCTGATAGTGCTATAAATAGACATGATGATATCGTCACGTGATACCACATATTCCACTCCTGGTGTTATTCTATCTCTGAAATATATGAAATAGGAAAACAAAATGATTTCTGGATAACTGTAAATGTTGTGGTCTCGCTCGTTACGTCACATATTGTTTACTTTCGAATACAATAAATACTGGTCTGGACAAAACAGAGTTACTTGCCTAACCTATATGGTAAATGGATGGCTGGTTGTTCGCGTATTTGGTTAACGCATTTACGTATGGGAAATGTGTGAATCCACCAGTAAATAGGCTTTCGTCAGTCTTCGTTAGTCTGTTTGGTGCAGGAGAGCATGGCGTTAAACCCCATGCATTTCATTTTCACTTTTAATGAAGATAGTATAAAATTACCGGGTCAATGTCTTAAAACGTCACACTTATAAAGAATAACAATTATTTTTCTTATAATGAAAATATCGTAGCATAAATGTACGTGACCACATGAACTAAATATGACGTCACCGCAGTCATCTTGGAATTGTGACGTCATATCAAAACCAAAGTCCATCAATCGATGCACAATTGTCCAAGGGACAGGTATGCCTTAAGAGTTTTCGAAGAATAACAAGATGAGTTACGAATTTCGATTTGAGGATCATTTCGAGGTCCAAAAACAGTATAGCGAATTGTTTTTGTTGCTATTATAGTATAATGTACATAGATGTTATGTTCATTTATTATAAATTTGTCTAAAATTTTAACTATTCCTTTATTTAACTGAATGAATAGTTTACAAATAACTAAATCTAAACTTGAATATTATATATAAAAAAGGGTAGAATTGTTGACACAATCGATCGTCTAGTCACAAATACAGGTGAATGGAAAGAGTTTTAATTGGTTTTTAATAACATGTGCGGATATGGGGTTGGGGTACAGGGGTGCGCTCTCTACCGCTTTTTATAGGCAACTATTAATATTTTGGATATGCCGTCAGTGCATTGCAGGCGTGTGCCGATAATTTGGAAATTTAGAATGTAACTATTTTAAGAAATAATACAAACACAAGGGAACCACACAGATCGTGGAAATACGCCAAGACATTGTCTGGAAAAAAAAGATTGTCAAAGAGGAAAACTTGGTTGTTCATCTCATTTGATAAGGCATGTGCCTTCAAGAAATATAACCGCCCTGTATACAAGACAGTCGCGATGGCTCAGTGAGTAAGACGTTGGCTCGCTGAACAGGAGGTCGTGTTCGATCCCGGTGTTGGCCGAGAAAGTTCAATGGGATTTTCTGACATGGTTCCCCCTTGCCAGTGGTGCATGGCAGAGGGGCCTGGCAAGGGACAACGTATAGTCGTAAGGATGGGACCAAAACCCGAGGTCCCGTGTACAGATTGCCGTGCACGTAAAAGAACCCTTGGCAGTTGAAATCGATGTAAGACTAGATCTTAGGACCGCTGCCCGGGCAAAATTTCCCTCTAGTAAATAGTTCTCCGTGTGTGTCATCATTAGTCTTGTCAGTGCAGAAAAGTAGAATCATAAACTCCATTTCATTTTGTATTCAAATAACTTTAACTACGCTAACATAATATAGTATTGATCGTTATTCCTCAGCCCTATTTCTACCGACAGGTGGTTAAATGAAAACAAATAAAGGCTACGTTGTTTAAGATTATTTAAGATTGAGATAAAGAGTGGGACGTTCTTGCTCTACTAGTTCAAAAATAGGTTACGCAAAATGAATTTATGACTGAAGTAATGTCCTTACGGAAAGTAAATATCGCCACTTTCCGGGCAAAATTCTCCAACAAACCCTAGAAAAACATGCAGTGTACATGTAGGGTACTCTAATATCGAATTCAAACTGTGAACGATTCTCTTACGTCACACCAATGTTTAAAAGGGACCTCCGCTGTTCCTTGCCAGTCAATTCATCCTGCCTTTCGTTTCGTGTTCAAGGTTTTAAACTTGACTCCCCCCCCCCCTCTACTATCCACAACTCGGGGCTCGCACCACACTGTCACCACACCATAATCGTGTCGCTAACCACATTAACCTATGCATATTTAGTATTTTATACATTTTCATCAAGTGAAAATAAATATGTTTTGCCTTTGTAATTATAACCTTATGTAAATTGTGATTGTAATTATAAACAATGTATTTATATGTCTGTAAATAATTTATTACGGGAAATGAATTTATATAAGCTCCGGCTTGTTTTCAGATCCCATAATTAAATATTGTCTCCTTATATAATATGGGGGATCACGTGGCTAAGTGGGTAAGACGCTAGCTCGCTAGCCTGGAGGTCGGGTGTTCGATCCCTGCATTGGCCGAGAAAGTTCATCCAGATTTTCCGGCGTGGTTCCCCCTTGTCAGTGATGCAGGACGGAGGGCCTGACAAGGATAGCTGTCTAGTCCTTCGGATGAGACGAAAAACCGAGGTCCCGTGTATACATTGGAATGCACGTAAAAGATCCCTTGGCAGTTGGAATTCGATATAAGAGTAGGCCGTAGTGCCGCTGTCCGGGCAAAATTTCCCTCATAGCACACTGTATGGCGTATGCCCGTCTTCATTAGCCCAGGTTAGGAGCAGAACAGTAGGACGTTAAACTCCATTTCATTTCATTTCATTTATATAATATGTAAATATTGATCGAATAAATATTGTTAAAAAAAAAAAATTCATCCTGCGACCCAGACAGTGGAAATCTATGTAGAAAATCCAGTGTATCTCATCGGCCAATACCGAGATTCAACCCAGGAACTGCTTGGTACACGAGCCAGCGCATTATCCCCTGGGCGTGGGGGGGGGGGGCGAATGGTTAGCACATGCGCGCTGTATCATAAGGTCTGTCATTGAGTCAACTGGTGTGGTTTCGATTCCCCGGTTGTACGTGACAAGGAGTAGGGTCGCCTGCCCAACCTCTTGAGTTTTCTCCTGGTCCTCCGGTTTCCTCCCACTGCTAAAGACCCCTACGAGCTAGCGAATTTTTGAAATAAAATTGAACCATGTGTTAGTCCCGAAACAGGCGCGGGAAAGGAGAACAAAAATACTTAAAAATGGTAGTGATCCCCGTCGTAATTTACTCCGAAACGAGCCGGTTGGTGACTTGGTTGATTGCCCGTCAGTCCGCCTACCGAGGGCCGGGCTTCGCACTCCCAAGTGGGGGCAGCACGCCCCCCCCCCTCCTAAAAATCCTGGATCCGCCCCTGCGAAATGACCTAGTTTGTGTCAAGTGGACGTTAAACCCCATATTTTAAATAAAAAAACCCAAATAAAACTGGGCTTCCGCGGCTTCAACATTGAAAGCCATGCCCTGTGATATGTCTGAGAAACTGATGACTACTTACGAGCATGTGTGTAAACAAACATGTGCATATACGATTCCATATTTTAATCCTATTAATTAAATCACAGATTTTAACCAGGAAGTGAAAATCCTAGTCATACTACTCAAGAGCTTTTAAACTATTAATTTTTAATCGCTACCACATGCTAGTTTCGTATTGATTTCTCGAGCGTTTGTCAAGAAAAATGTCCCGAACTTTCTACAATAATAATATAATATAGAGCAAGAACTTCGTTGAATTTAACAATTTAGAATTATTAAAAATAGAAACTTCAAATAAACCAAAATGAAATGAAATGGGGTATAAAGTCCTACAGTTCCGCTCCGAAGTGGGCTAATAAAGGCGGACATACGCCATACAGTGTGCTATGAGGGAAATTTTGCCCGAACAGCGGCACGACGGCCTACTATTATATCGAATTCCAACTGTCAAGGGATGTTTTACGTGCACGCCACTGTGTACACGGGACCTCGGTTTTTCGTCCCATCAGAACGACTAGACAGCTGTCCTTGTCAGGCCCCCCGCATCACTGACAAGGGGCAACAACTTCGGAAAATCTGAATGAACTTCCTCGGCCTATGCAGGGATCGACCACCCGAACCCCAGAGACTACCGAGCCAGAGTCTTACCTTCTTAGCCACCGTGACCCCCTCAAATAAACCATTAAAAGATGCCAATTATTACTAATCGGTAGTAACTAAATATTTGGTTTAACCATGGGGGGGGGGGGGGGTCGCCGAATGGTTAACGCGTGCGCTTTGCATGATATGGTCTATCATTTAGTCAACTGATGTGGTTTCCATTTTCCCGTTGTACGTGACAAGGAATAGGGTCGCATGTCCAACCTCGTGGGTTTTCTCCGGGTCCATCGGTTTCATCCTACTGATAAGAGATCCCTACCTGCAAGCGATTGATTGACATCATTTAAAGCCCTAGCCGGGTGGTAAAAACTTAATTTTCCATTTGACCTAAATTTCCTTTCTAACTTTATTTATTCATTAAATATTTACATAAAGATAGGCTACAACATGTAATTATGAGATCTGAAAACGAGCCGGGGCTTTCATATATCCAATTCCAATGTTCCAAAATTTAAGTTCAAAGGAGTTAAGTCTCTAACTCAATATTTTCAATAATATTCGAAATTAAAAACACGAATCAGAATTCAACATTTATCAATTTCAGTCAATATTGACGTTATCTTGCCGTGAAACTATAGGATCCTATTATCCAATATTTAAGACACACTTAACATTTTATAATCAATACACGAGTCGTGTACTCTATGGTTTCGGGTGTCATTTTGTTATGAACAAATAAAAACATATCGTACAATACCATGTGAAAGTAATTAGTGAAGTCTGAATCACAAACGACAAAATAATAATTTAAACAAACGTGTTTAATACACCAGGCGTAAACGACTGCCGTTCAATTTAAACTGTTCACGTATTTTACCGAACATAATTGATTAGAAATTACAATATATTTTTTTTTAAAAAAAACATGAATATAAATCTATTTCAAGATTAAAAAAAAAATAGAGCCATACGCCCTTTAAAAGATGTAATTGTAAATTATGTAAAGATTTAAAGAAATACAACTTTATAATCATGGGATCTGAAAACCAACCGGAGATTATATAAATCCATCTGCCGTCAGAAATTATTTACGTCCACTCGATACAAACCAGGTCATTTCAGGACTAAGATATGGTTCAATTTTATT